GGGGGGGGGGGGGGTTCTTAGATTTGAGTAAATATGATACAGCAGTGGCATTCCTCCTCTGAAATTTTCATAGCTTAGAAATGTAACAGGCTAGAAGTGACTTCAGTGTAACATATACTGATTTTGAACGTTTGACTATGCCTTAATGTTGGAAATAAGTGCAATTTCCCAGACTTGCGTTAACTAAAGAACATAACTTAAACTGCCTATTTATTGACTAGATTCTATCATTTTTTATTAATTCATGTGCTGTTAGGTTCTTCAAAGAAATATTGATGAAATTAATATCTGTAGAATCTGTCTGTTTCTTGGCTTTCAGTCATTATTTTAATGATTAGTCAGTATTTGCCCATAGCTACTACATAGTGGTATTTTGTAGGTTATAGGCTACTTGAATCGGGCTCTGTAAATTTAGCTTGTAAGGTGCTGCCCTGCCCTGCCTTCTACCTAACTTTAGACTAACAAGGCTAATTACTGGTCTGTACCTTGCTCTACATGGTGAGTAAAAGAAAACAAAAACAAAATAGCATTTATTTTTTGTCAGTTGGTTAGTCAGTCTAACTGACATAGAGGATAAATGCCAAGGTATGCAAATCCAAAAGTGTCCTGAGAACATACAGCTTTATACAAATTTCTTCTCTGAACCGTCTAATTGCAGAATAACATGTTGTGGCAGTGCACCTTTGGTGCCTGCCACTTTAAGGGCTGGAACAGGCAGCCGGCAGGTGCTTGATTAAGGCAGCCATTTTCAAACTTAGGCCAGGCAGGCAGAGGCAGCAGTTTGGTGCCAGCCTCTGGGGAAGTAACATCACCCAGCTGAGCTACTGCTCCTGGAACAACTTGGAGGTAAGGGCAGGAGCAGTGGGGATGGCAGGAGGCTCCTGGTCCTGGGCATGATCTGAAATTGCACCCTGCTGGGGCTAGGGAGACCTGGAGGGGCTGCCTGTGGCAGGGCAGTGTCATTCAAATACCAGGACCTCTAACCTCCCCAGTGAAAGCGATCATCGCCTGCTGGAATTCACCATCCAGCGCAAGGT